GTATTCAACTTGTCCCATTGTATCGTACAGCCCTAAGGAGGGAGAAAATTTTAATCAGACAGTATAAGAACTGGACTGAAGATTCCATCTTGACCCTACAAGGGTGTTCTGAATGCACTGATTGGGAAATGTTTAAAGAGTCATGTGCTGACATAGATGAACTTACTGATGTTGTTAGCTGTTATGTGTCCTATTGTGTTGATAACATTATTCCTGAAAGGTCTGTAAAGGTGTACCCAGATAACAAACCATGGATAACTAAATCACTCAAGGTGCTGCTTAAAGAAAGACAGCATGCATTTCAGAAAGGAAATCTTTCTGAGTTAAATCAGTTAAAAAAGGAAGTGAATTGGAGATACAGTAAATAAGGCAAAGTTGCATTATAAAGAGAAGAAAGAACGGGAGTTAAGAAATAGTCATTTGGGCTCAGTCTGGGATGGCATGAAAACCATAGTTGGGACAAAGCCTAAAAGATATTCTAATATAGTATTGGCAGGGTATAGAGGTGGTTTTCAGCTTGCACAAGCATTCAATGATTTTTTTGTAAGGTTTGATACTCATGATTTTGAGAATATTCTCTGTGAGCAGAAAAATTATTTAATTGGTAATAGACCAATTCCGTTTAAAGAACAGGATATTATTAACATGTTTAAACATTCAAAAGCTAGGAATAGCTCGGGCCCTGATAATATTGAAGGTCGGCTGCTTATCTCCTGTGCAGAGCAATTGGGATCTATTTTTTATTATATTTTTCAACTGTCCCTTACTCAACAGAAGGTGCCGAGATTATGGAAATCCTCTACAGTCATCCCAGTGGCTAAAAATAATCATCCAGTAGAACTAAATGATTTTAGACCAGTTGCGCTGACCTCTTTAGTAATGTTCGGGTAGAGGATGCTACGGCCACCTTGTTGAATTTGGTACTTAAGCATTTAGAGGGAACTAATGCTAGAATTTTATTCGTTGATTTCTCATCTGCTTTTAATACGATTCAACCTCACATTTTAGTAGAGAAACTTTTGAGCTTTGGTTTTGATTTTTGTATCATTGGTTGGATCCTTGACTTTCTAACTGGTCGAATTCAGAGAGTAAGGGTAAATGGGTGTTTGTCAGAGGTACTGTCTTCATCCACAGGGTCCCCTCAGCGATGTGTTTTTTCTCCACTCCTGTATATTTTATACACTGATGATTGCAGGTGTAGGCATGAGAATAGATTTATTGTAAAATATGCAGATGATTCAGCTATTGTCAGCCTCCTCCATGCGGATGAAAATGACCATGGCCTCGTGGTAGATGATTTTGTTCAGTGGTGTGATAATGCATTCCTGCAAATAAATGTGTTAAAAACTAAAGACATGCATATTGATTTTAGGCGTAATCAACGTGATATAAAGAGAACCACTATTAAAGATTAGGAGGTTGAGGTTAGTAAATATACTTATATGATCCACCATATAAGTATATTTGGGATGTGTGACTGATAACAAGCTGAATTTTAATGTCAATGTGGAGAAGATTTGTAAAAGGGGCCAGCAACGTCTGTACTGTCTACGGAGACTGTCCAAATTTAACATTGATAGATCCCTGATGACTCTGTTTTACAAATCTTATATTGAGTCTGTTTTAACATTTGCTATGTTATGCTGGTATGACAGTCTTAGTGTGAAGGCAAAGACTGCATTGGTGAAAATAGTTAACACTACCAGTAAGATTTTAGGAGTTCAGCAGAGTCATCCTACCGACCTATATAATCGCCAGGTAGTTAGAAAAGCCCAATCTATCTTAACGGTTACTTCCCATCCTCTCTACTCTGAGTTTCAGTTTTTACCCTCAGGTTCTCTGTCAAGATTTCCTTCTGTTAGGAGTAACAGGTACAAACATTCATTTATTCCTACTTCTATCTCTTTGCTAAATTCGGGCAGGTGGGGAGTAGGTGGAAGCAGGTAGTTGTTTGGTCTTGTGTTGTCCTGTGTTTTTTTTTTTATGTAATTTTTAATGTAATTTTTTAAGTATTGTAAATTGTCTTTTTTGTATGCTGGTCTTGCTGTAAAACCAATTGCCCTTAGGGGACATAAATAAAAGAAAGAAAGAAAGAAAGAAAGAAAGAAAGAAATCTTACCTCTCATGTAGGTCCTTCAGGGTGTCTTGGAGAGGGGAGGTTTCTAATGGCGCTTTTCCACTGCATGGTACGGCACGGTACGGCTCGGTACGGTTCACTTTTGGGGGGTTTTCCACTGGGTACAGTACCACCTCGGTTGGGGTTCCAAGCGAACCGTACCGTTACCAAAATGTGACGTGTAAACTCTGCTGATCACAGATTGGCCAGAGAGAATCGTCACTACCTGCGTCACTGAACTTGCGACACAAACACAAAAGAACCGCTAGATTTAAATCAGCACAGCCAGCGAAGGATCGAACGCAACTGTTTTGAACAAGCGCACCTTTTTTAACAACCAAAAAGTGGCTGTTTCGTTGTCTGTTGAGGAAGTACAGACGTTCCTCTTGTTGATAGCAGAGGAGCGGATCCAGCGAGAGCTTGATGGGGCGACGTGGAATTAAAAAGTTTTTTAGGAGTCGCGGCAGTAGAGGTGGCTCAACTATAACGACATGTGAATAATCCCGCCCACTCTAAAGCGGTACTGAACTGCAGTGGAAACGCAAACCGAGCCGAGCTGTGCCGTACTGAGCCGTACCGAGCCGAGTCATACCACGCAGTGGAAAAGCGCCATTAGTCACAACTTCTTGCTACTGGGGTTCCTCACGGCTCAGTGCTTGGACCACTTCTCTTCTCCGTCTACATATCATCATTAGGATCTGTCATCCAGAAACATGGCTTTTCCTATCACTGCTATGCTGATGACACTCAACTCTACTTCTCATTCCAACCAGATGATCCAACAGTAATTGTTCGCATTGCAGCCTGTCTGACAGACATCTCTGGCTGGATGAAGGACCACCACCTTCAACTCAACCTTGCGAAGACAGAACTGCTTGTGGTCTCAGCCAACCCAGCACTTCATCGCAACTTCTCGATACAGCTAGGTTCGTCAACCATAACTCCTTCTAGGACAACCAGGAACTTTGGAGTTGTGATTGATGATCAGCTAAGCTTCACAGATCATATTACTACAACGGCCCGGTCCTGCAGATTTGCTTTATACAATATTAGGAAGAATAGACCCTTCCTATCAAAGTAGGCCACACAACTCCTTGACCAAGCTCTTGTTCTCTCCAGACTGGACTGTTGTAATGCTCTCTTAGCAGGCCTTCTGGCATGTACTATCCAGCCTCTGCAACTGATCCAGAATGCTGCGGCAAGAGTGGTCTTCAATGAGCTGAAGAGAGCGCACGTCACACCTCTCTTCATCAGTTTGCACTGGCTGCCGATAGCCGCTCGCATCAAACTCAAGGCACTGATGTTTGCCTACAACACAACCACTGGCTCTGCACCAAAGTACCTAAACTCACTAGTTCAGACTTATGCGCCCTCCAAAAGCTTGCGTTCAGCAAATGAACGACACCTCGTGGTACCATCCCAAAGAGGCACGAAATCACTCTCACGGACCTTTACCTGGACTGTTCCAAGCTGGTGGAACGACCTGCCTATCTCAATTCGAGCAGCTGAGATCAAAAAATGTCTAAAGACACATCTTTTTTGTCTGCACTTGACTAATTAATGCTAACATTTTCTTATTCTATTTGTCTCTTTTTCTGAAGAAAAAAACAACAACTGATATGTGTACTGTGCTAGACTATCTGAGACTTGTTACAGCACTTGTATACTGTTGCCCTCCTATTGGTCTGAATTGCTTATATCTGCTCTTCTCATTTGTAAGACGCTTTGGATAAACGATTAAATGTAAATGTAAATAGTTATTGTGTTTGGGCCCCATACCTTCTTTTGCGCACAAAAAGTATTCTCGTAGCTTCGTATAATTACTGTTGAACCCCTGATGTCACATGGATTATTTAAAGATCTCCTTGCTACGTTTCTGGACTTGGGAACATTTCAGTTGTATTGCTGTCTATGCAGGGTCAGACAGCTCTCAGATTCCATCAAAAATATCTTAATTTGTGTTCCGAAGTTGAACGAAGGTCTCACGGGTTTGAAATGACATGAGGGTTAGTAATTAATGACAGAATTTTCATTTTTGGGTGAACTATCCCTTTAAGAATGATGTGGATTTACACAACTGTAATTTATTACATTAGCAATAAATGGTTAGCCAGCTTTAGAACATTAAGAATGGGTGTCTCAACTGTACCATGGTACTGTTTCAATTGTACAATATGGGTACAGTTAAGACAAAAATGCACCTTATGGTTATGAGCTAATTGTGAAAAATATAGGCTAAACTACTTTTATTATTAAACTATTATCAATTTATGATATTTAAGTACACAAGCAAAAGAAATATAATGTGAAAGATCACTTCATTTCAGCATCTAGTTTTTGTGTAGTGATGAAAAAAGCAGAAAGTGTCAGTCTACCCTACTGTTTCACATAGGCTACCATTTGGAGGCAACACACTGTGCACACAGCAATAGGGGGCAGCACCGTAACAAATAATGAGGGCAACGATGCGTGCTAAAGCACTTGCAAACTGAGCTTTGTCTCTCACTTATTCGGAAGATTACATCCGAGACGGCCAGATTGGAGGGAAGGCCTTACACTTTAATTTGCAGAGCGAGACACAGAAATGGGCCGTGATGTGGTCTTAAAGGCGGTATGAAGCCGGATAGTGCAGAGATCAGATTTGTTGGAGAGTTCAAGACGGTTTGCAATAGGGGTGATGGGGGCAGGGGATATCTGGATCCTCTATAAAAACCCGTGAGATTCCTCCTGCTGGTCCAGACGGAACCGATGAAGGTGATCGCATCCGCCGCATCCCAGAATAACTCGACTGTGATTTTGAGCGCATCCAACAGCAAAGCAGCAGTGAGGGGAATGAGGAGGAATTTGATGCATGTATGAAAATCTGACACTGGTGCACCACTGTTGGCCTCTTTCACGCCGCGTAATGGAAATAGCAGGATAACGGTATTCCAGCGGCTTTTTGCTCCTAGTGGCCGCGGCACCGAGAAAAAAAAAACGGGTCAGCCGTGAGCACGTGTTTTTGAACTAAGTTAGTCATCTGTCTGATCAGATCGGCGGAATGGTGTTTTTGAGATGTCACCGGAGCAAGTATATATGGGCCACTCTGGGTGTGTTGGCGTTTTTGTGGCTCTACATCTTCCCCGTGTACAGGATACCCAGCGATAAGGAAATGGTGGATGAGGTTCTGCGGCAGGGACAAATCTGGACCAGAAACCAAACCGGAGTAGATCTTTACAGGTATTTCAGTGCTTTTAGATTCGTCACATTAAAGTATTCATTCATTGTGAGCGTATCTGTGATGTGCAATGCCGCATATCTTAGATGAATTGGTACTGTGATGCGATTTGGAATGACATTTTAGTCTCAGTAGTCTCTCTCTCTAACTGTAATTAAGTAAATGGAGCGGCTGCACTCAGTGTCTCGTCCATGTAATCTGTCTCTCATGCTGACATACGAGTATTGCTGAGTGCAGACGTATCCCCCGAAAAACCGATTAAGAGAACGCACATGCGCAGAGAGGTAGACGCGTTTGAATCTGTCTCCCCGCTCTGAACTCCCGGAAAGGCTCGTATTTGTGACTTCACAAAGAGGCTGATTCTGTTATTAGATTTGTTACATTTTATTATGATGATGATCTCGGTTTGAAATTTGTTGCGGCAACTGTTGCAAAAATGATTAACGTTCTATAATCAGCATATCATACTTTATTAAATTTGAAATAAATCTGTTGATCAAAATCGAAAAGAACATAAAGGTCTTTAAAAGTCTTTATTCACCTTTCAATAAATTAAGACATTATTCAGTCGGAGCAGAAAGTCTTAAATTCATAGTCATGGAATTAGAAGTTGCATGCATGGAGAAAAAAACAAATAAAATAAATAAAAAGTAATAATAATATTCTTTTACTCCGTGTTTTTGTCTTGTTTTCAAGTTACAAATGTCGAAACTTTTTTAAGTCGAGACACGTTTAGAAAAGATGCTAAATGAAGGTATTACGTATTGTTTTCTGAGAAATGTATCAAAATGAAGTGAGTTTATGCTTAAAACAAGAACATATATCAATGGAGTCAGAAAAATTAACTTATTTTCCCTTTGAAAAGGTAATTTTTCTGACCTCATTTGCAGATATTTGTTCTTCTTTTAATCATAAATGTACTTCATTTTGATAAATTTTAATGTGACCCCTTCCATTAATTCCTTGAATTTTCTTTGTTTGGTCTTACAAAGTCTTAAATTTAACTTAACAAAGCTGCAGTACTTATTTATTTATTTAACTGAGATGCTTTCCAATTATGCTTGCTTTCATATTTGTAATCAACTTATTTTGAGTGTAATTGTGCAGAAATCTCTGCTGAATAAAAGATTTTGTGCTTTTAAAAATGTTTGTTTGTTCCCAGTCCGTAAGAAAGGCCATTTTCAAAAGCCTTTGCTTCTGCTTTTTTTGCAGGAAGCTGCTGACAGAATGCTGTGACCCAAAGAGGATGTTTGCAGTTACTAAGGAGAACTCGCCAATAGGCAAAGTCTTGTGGTACGATGGGGAGATCTACCATTATCACACAGTCAACAATGAAACCTACCCGTTCTTTGTTCAGGTACTATCTTTCATAAAAGTCAATGAGCCAAAAATATGACTAGATTTTGCTGCAACAGCTTTATACTAGGATATAGATCTAGTAGTGGTGACTGGTGATTCTTGTGAAATGTAATCATTTATCTGAATCCAAGTCTGGCATCAGCTTTACATTTTGAAACAACATAAGACTCAAAATAGTAAAACAAATATTAAAGGGGTCATATGATGTTGCTAAAAATAACATTATTTTGTGTATTTGGTGTAATGAAATGTTTATGCGGTTTAAGGTTCAAAAAACACATTATTTTCCACTCACGTTTGAATCATCAGTGGCAAATCCTTTAAATATAAAAAACTTACTTCTGTGAGTCAGAACAGCCGGCATTGTAGTCTACTCTACCAGGATCAGGAAACAGTCCTCCATAAAATGCGCAGCACACATCTGAATATTTGGTTTGAACTGTTCTGGAACAGTGTTGTAAATATAACTTAACCACTGTTTTCTAGTCGTGTCCTCTTTTGGAAGACCAAACATAGTAGTTTTGCTTTCACAACGAAACACACAACGGCACACACGGCGTGAAAGTGAGCGGCGGCCGGAGGCCTAGAGTGAGGAACGGCCGGCTGGCTAGAGTGAGCGGAGACCGACTTGAGTGAGTGGCGGCCGGCGGGCTTGAGAACGGTGCGGGCTTGCGGCAACCACATGTGAAGACCCGGGCTGAACTCCACTTCGTCCATGGTGAAAGCCGATCCGGCGATCCACACTCTTTGGATTTGAGACTTTAGTCTTTGCAACTTTACAGATCTTCTTTATGCACCAAGAGCTTGTAACACTCCAAAGAGAAGGAAAAATTGAAATCGCATCATATGACCCCTTTAAACAGATAATACTTCCTTGTGTTGACTTCCTCGGTATCACTGTATTTTAACATTAATTCATGTTTGCTTTCACACATTTCTGCTGTCATACATTATATACCAACATTCTGCCCACCCTTAGTTTCCATCATAAACCTCTATGTAATTCCTGATACAATTTTTAATGCATGACAGAATGGTGTAAACCGTTCCAAATTCTTGTTCAAATTCAAGATTATATGCTCAACATGTACACACAAGTACGGTTAAACATAAATTCAGCAGAACCAAACCGTGATTTTTACGCTGAATCGTGAGCAAATATTGTTGGTTTCTTTCAGTATTACAGTATTAAATTAGTAGATATTTTGTTGTCCATTTAATTGTACATCGAATAAAAAAATGAAAGTTTCATCACTTAGTAAAGTAATAGCACATTTTAATGGTGTTTTAAATCTAGTTGCATATTTTTCATATGTGAAGACCTTCGTATATTCAACAGTTACCTGAAATTACAGATAAATGTCTGGAATGGTTTTGCTATAAAACATATTTATGAATGTGGAATTGTTTGAAAGCAAAGCAGTTGGTCCTTTTTTTTTCTTTCCACCCCCACACTCCTTGAGGCTCAGCTCAGCACTCCGCCTTCTAAAAATAAACAGGCATGGGAGAGACACCCGCATGGGCCCTGATTGTCCTGTACTGGGCACCATTCTGCCTTTCATTCGCAATGTTCCTCCTACACAGTCTCAGAGCCCACGCAGATGGACACACAAACACACAACGCATTATCCCACACACACTCACAAACACACCAGCCTCACTCTAATGTAGTTACACTGTGATTTAGGACGATTATTCAATAAGATCTATGGGCTATGTGGGCCATGTTACTATGGACACAATGTCTTTTTTTTTAATAAAAGGGATAAATGAATAATTTTATTGAAGATTTAATGGGACATTTGTGCCCAGAGAAGCCATTAAAAAGATTTACATTTACACACGTAGTCTTAAAGGATGTTTACTGTCAATCTCAGTATTATGTTTCAGCATACGTCAGACTTACTGTAATTGAATTTAACCATCTGCATGTAATGTTTACCATTACATTATGCATCACTGACACAGATAAGAGAGCGCCGATATGATCCTACTGGAGCTTCATTCTTCTGAGGGATTTTTGCATGACGTTTCACCGACTGGTATCCAAAAAATTTGTCATTTAAAGTGCATTTACCTGTAATCAAAGGTGTACATCATTGCATTAACTAAAAACATCTTCCAGCAATGTTTGAGAATCACAAACCCTGAAACAAAAGATTAGGACATTTACAGGATGAAATATACAGTAGTTTCAGTAGATTCATTTAGAGAGTGCTGATGTATAGTATGAATGCACTGGGATGTTCTAGACCAGGGGTGTCAAACTCAATTCCTGGAGGGCTGGAGCCCTGCAGAGTTTTGTTTGCAACCCTGCTCCAACATACATACCATGTAGTTTTCAAATAAGCCTGAAGGACTTGATTAGTTGGATCAGTTGTGTTTAATTAGGGTTGAATCTAAACTCTGCAGGCATTTTTTCCCCTGTGATTTATGCTTTAGCCTTCTATTTTGTTAGTGGAGAACAGAAAATAAATCGATTGACTTGATGTTAACTTTTATGGTGGTTTCACAATGTTAGTTCTTAATGTAGGAATGCCAGAATGACTGAAGAAAAGTTTAAAGGGGTCATATGATGCGATTTCAAGTTTTCCTTTCTCTTTGGAGTATTTTATGGACGACAGTTTTTTGAACCTAGAAGAGTACAAGGCTGGCTGTGCACAAAGGCTGTTTCAAAAAAAAAAAAAAGGGTCAATTCCGACTTAGCAATGACAATCTGGCACTTCTGAATCGGCGACTGTAAGTATGTTTTGTTACTAGTTTAAGACAATAATGTACAGTATTTGAAAAATAATGTGTTTTTTGAACATTAAAGCATGTCAACATATTCTGTTACACCAAATACACAAAATAATGATCTTTAAAATAGCATCATATGACCCCTTTAAGCATGATGATGTGCATTTCTCATCCATTTAATAACCCTTTGCAATGACAGCCCAAAGAAGCCAAAGTGCATTTGCTAGCACTTTGTTGCATTATTCATTCATAATTCATTGCCATATTAAATCAAAACTAATTTTCTTATAGAGAAAGTAACTGTAACTAAAAATAGTTGCGTGACATAGATTCCGATTTGAGATTACCTGGGAGAGAATGAATTTGTAGCTTCAGAGAAACCACATGGAAGAGAGGAAAGAGCATAGGTTACAGTCTGCTTTTAACATATTCCTTGTGACTAAATGGCCTTTTTGGGAAGGAACTGCCTTAGTGATTACTCTTTATCCCTTCAAACTCCTTGCATATATAACGGTTTGTATAAAAGGAACCAAACTGTTGAATAACTGTATGTTTGTGGTGAACATTGTCTAAGCTATTCTACTTTCAATGTGTCATCTCTCTTAAACCTATTGCTGACCACCGATCCACTGCCTCAAAATTCACCTCTCTGGCATGTGTGTTTGTGCTCTGTCAAAATGCCATTTGCTTAGTAGTAATGTGTCATGTATGATATGTGTGTCTGATCAAAATGTTTAAAATGTTTGTTTTAGTAACTAGTATGACATATTCAGTAAATGTTACCTACACTCTGAAGTAGAATCCATAGTATAGCTGCACATCTTTGACTACATAATTTTGTATTAGCACACCAAGTCAGTTGATTTACTGATATAAATCAGTAGACCCAAGCCATATGTAGGGATGAGAATGTGATACAGACTATGGGGTAAGCCCTTCTGTCCTGGACCAATAAAAAAAAGCCTCCTAATCATACACTAGAAACCACCCAGAAAACCTTTGCAACCACTTAGCAATACAATAATAACCACTCAGTGCAGCTTAGCAACAGTGTATCAACTCCCTGCTAACTACCCACAACACTCTGGAAGCACAACAAATTAAACAAAAAAAAAACTACAACATAGTAATCTGCTTTTGATTTATAGGCTTTTTCTTTATTTGAATCTATAACTCCTGTAGAAGGAAAATGTCTGATGATGAGTGTTTAGTTATGTATGTGTGAGGTGAGATGAAATTGGTGGCCTGTAATGCAAATTAATTGCCAGGGGGTCTTACAAAGGGTCTTTTTATGAACTGTTCACCACTCTTTGAAGTGTATGAATATTGAAGTAACCTTGATTTGAATATGTATTCATCAAAAGAAACAAATGGAAACGTACTGTGTGTGTGTGTGTGTGTGTGTGTGACTCTTTATTGCTTCGACCCATTTGTGTAACTCCCACTGTTTTTATGTTGCTAGGATACACCATTGCAGCTTCCTCTGAAGAAGTGTTCGGTTGTGGGCAATGGAGGGGTCCTGAAACACAGTGGCTGTGGAAAAGAAATTGACCAAGCTGACTTTATCATGAGGTGAGAAGATGGTAATATTTGTTTGAGTGTCATATCATATCAAAAATCATACAGAATTAGTTTTACATTTATATTTATTCATTTAGAAAACGCTTCTATCCAACTATATTTGCAGCACATAATGTCAAGTTTGAATATAAACATTAGTACACAAGCTAAAGCAGAGATTTAATGCAGAAAGAGTTTGTTTATGGATGTGGTTTAGAAAAGTGCTTGAGGAAAAGGTATGTCTTCAACTTTTTTGAAAGTAGTAATGGTCTCAGCAAATTGGATGAAGGCAGGCAGTTTGTCCCATCACAGTTGAGTGAAGGTGCCTCATTGTGAAGGAATGTTTTGTGCCCCTCATTCACTGACTGTAAATTGCAGAAGGGAAGATTGAGGTAGGAGGCTCCATTTCCAGTTGTAGTCCTCAAAGCTAGCATCAAATCCTTGAATTTGAAGTAGGCAGCTACAGGAAGACAGTGAAGTTAAACCTAGATAAGTATGGTGTGGAACCTCTTTGATTGACTGAAGAGCAGATGTCCTGCCAAGTTATGTATCATCTGCAGAGGCTTATATGTGCTGACTAGAAGGCTGGCCAATAGAGCAAGTGTTTAGACAAGGAGCTGTGCAGTGTACCCAGAAAAAAATAGTCTGGTTTTCCTGATATTAGAAAGCATTAACCTGCATGACCAGGCTTTTGTTGAGATGTTGGTACTGGTCATCAAACACTTCCACCAGGTTCCTTGTCCTGGTTGGTGTTAGTGTTGATGAATCCAATGGAACAGTGATGTGGTGGTCGACTAACTGGTTGGCTGTGATTTACGAGCTCTGGGGTCGCAAGGTTGAACTGGAGGTGACTTTCCTCTATCCAAGTTGAAATGACTGAAGGGCAAGCATAGATACAAACTGAGACAGTGGGGTCATCAGATTGGAACAACTGGTAGTGCTGCATATTAGTTCCACAGTTATAGGAAAAGTCATGTGCCTTTTTGATCAAGCATAGTGAGGTTGTGTATATCAAGAAAAGGAGAGGATCAAGCACTGAACCTTGAGGCACCCCAGTGATTAGCTCAGACACCCCTCCTCTCCAGAAAACCATAAAGGATCTGCCCGTGAGATAAGGCTGAAAACAGTGAAGTGCCATACCTCTGATGCCCAGGTCAGGATAGATGGAGTCAGTGAAAGATGGGAGAGAATCTGGTCTAAGGGATGGGAGAAGAGGGAAAGAACAGAGTAGAGGACTGCATACAGGCGGTGGTTGGTTGTGGGTATGTGGTGTAGAAAAGAGGTCACTGAATGTTGTTGGAAGATGTATTGGTACTAAGTGACCTTGGCAGCAGAAACACAGAGGAGAAAGAGGATAGGAGAGATTGATATGTGCTCAGGTCAGCTGAGTCTTTTGACTTGGCCATATTATTCTCGGTAGCTCAGAGCTTGATCTGATGGTCACAGAGAGATCAGTGAACCAGGGGTTAGAGGATGTCATAAGTGCTAACCCAGGGGTGCCCAATCCTTCTCCTGGAGGGCCACTTTTCTTGCAGATCTCCAACCTGCTTAGAAGTTTTTAGTGATCCTGAAGACCTTGATTACCTGGTTGCTGGCCTGTGCTAACCTGTGATAGAGCAGACATTCTCAAGGCAAGATGTTAATATGGAGCTGAAAGTATTAGTAGCATCACAATAAGACGTGGGACTTTTATTAAAGTTTTCACTTTATTAAGAAATAACAACATTAAAGGGTTAGTTCACCCAAAAAATGAAAATTCTGCCATTAATTACTCACCCTCATGTCGTTTCAAACCCGTAAGACCTTCGTTCATCTTCGGAACACAAATTAAGATATTTTTGATGGAATCTGAGAGCTGTCTGACCCTGCATAGACAGCAATACAACTGAAATGTTCCCAAGTCCAGAAACGTAACAAGGAGATCTGTAAAATAACCCATGTGACATCAGGGGTTCAACAGTGTTATATTGCTGTCTATGCAGGGTCAGACAGCTCTCAGATTCCATCAAAAATATCTTAATTTGTGTTCTGAAGTTGAACGAAGGTCTTACGGGTTTGAAACGACATGAGGGTGAGTAATTAATGACAGAATTTTCATTTTTGGGTGAACTATCCCTTTAACAACATATAAAAGCTTTCTTGTGACATAGACTGAGAAACATCACTTCCAACAAAACTTTTTCTGCATTCTCTATCCCTCTCCTCTACCTCTAGATGTAACCTTCCTCCTCTGTCCAAAGAGTACACCACTGATGTTGGTACCAGAACACACCTGGTGAGCGCGAATCCTAGCATTATTGAAAAGAAGTACGTGTCTTCTCCTTCTCTCTTAATTATGTTTTTGTCTTTTCTTAATTTGGGGGGTTATGGATTCATGATTTATTTAATTACAATACTAATATTTCAGTAGTGCATATCGATAACAATGGAAACAATAATTTAGATTTCAAAGCGGCACCTTTCTACTCGACCTGGAGATTACCGTAGGTTTCATAATAGATGCACATCATTATTTTTGTCACAGCAGGCTTTGCTTTGGTGACAGCACTACTGAATATAATCAAAATTGAAATTGTTCAATTGTAATTGTTAGCTTTTTTATCACAATTATTTTAGTACTGACTTTGCACTGATACTTTTGACATCCCTAACACCTGTTTCAAACCGCAAGCTTGAACTTGAACACTGCAGCTGCAGACTCGCCAGAGTATTCAGACTGGAAGCATTTGTACAGCGTCACAGCAGCGGCTCCAAAGCTATATATTTCTTTACAAAGACAACTATAAATTTGTTTTTGGAAGATGGTCCTTTATAAACTTGAAAGTTTTAAAGTCTTGAAAGTTTGTTAACATGGGGATTCTCATGAAATGACCTTTTTCATGATATTCTAATTTTTTGAGATGTACCTGTAAATGTTTAAACAACAAACACAACCAAGAAAACAGCTCAAATCATGTCGTTTCAGTAATACTTCGATATAGAATGTGCTGTTTATAATGTTTTTTTTTTTTAAATAATACACCATACTTTCACCCAAAATAATTAAAAACAAGTTTAAATGGGTAAATCTTCTAAACATATTTTTCATTTTTCATTTCCTGACATACTTCAATTCTTGCTAAAACACACTAGACATGCTTATCCTGTGCATTTGTAACACATCATATTTATTTTGCCAGTCAAAAGTCTGCTGTTACTTTGAGTGTGAGTAGTGCAGCAAAAATAGACTCGTGGTGAAACCATCGCTTCCGTGCTGCTCATGCGACGCTCCTGCTTGACGCTCACGCGTTGCTCTTGCTCCAGTGGTGAATGCACTCGTTTATTATCATGCACGCCGAATAAAATATGCGCTGCTCATGCTTGCGGTGTGAAACCGGTCTATCTTTTTAGTCAAGAGACAAATGTCTGATAAATTACATTGTTGTTTTGACTCTGTATTTTTTATTTATATATATGTTCTTCTGCAAAACTGTGGTACTTCAATAAAGTAATGCTTTCTCTCATTCTACTGTACCATGTTTTTCTGTTACAACTTTTCTATGTCTTGTTCATCTTAGCTTACAATTACATTGCACTGTTGTCTGATAGTGTTCATAAAGCTCTTCTATATGTGAAACAGCCTGAGCTATTTGTGGTTTCTGGGGTAGTTAGTTGCATGCGGCAACGGCAGGAAAACAGAGACAGAATGGTTAGAAAAGAACACGCAGTTCTGCAAACAGCTGGCTACGTCTTGAGGGATGAATATTGACCTTTCTTCGTGGATTAGCATGTTTACTACTTGCATTAGCTGGCAGGAGATCTCCAAAGTGCTTTGTTAGTGCCAGGGTCAGTACCAGGTCTTTTTATACATTATTATATTATTGATATTATTAAAAACAGCATATTAATATGCTTGTGTTGTAATATGAGTGTTCCTAAAGGTATATGCATTCAGAAACAAGCTTAAGCTCAGACACTTTATTTATTATAACTTGACTATTCACACAGTGCCATGGAAATAACGAGATGTTTAACAAGATACAGTATAAATAAAGAGCTAAAGTTAACCAGTAATACAGTTAGTTAGATTTCAGTTAGGGGTCAGTTCAATCATTTATTCATCCATTGTGGCCACAGTATCTTTAAATGAAACAATTTGGTTACAGAAAAATAGTTTTTTTATGTGTATTTTGAAACATTTTTTACTTAAAGAACACATCACTCCAAATTGACATTAAATGGAAAAATTGTGTATCATTCCTTTTTTTTCCCTATCAGCTTTCAGAACCTACTATGGTCCCGCAAATCCTTCGTAGAAAGTATGAAGGCATTTGGTTCCAGCTACATCTACATACCAGCGTTCTCCATGAAGCCTGGCACTGACCCCTCCCTGCGGGCATACCACACCCTTGCAGACTCCGCCTCCAGCCAGACCGTCCTGTTTGCCAACCCGGACTTCCTGAAAAACGTTGGTCGATTCTGGAAGAACCATGGCGTCCATGGCAAACGGCTGTCCACAGGGCTGTTCCTGGTGAGCCTTGCCCTTGGCTTGTGTGAAGAGGTAACCACTTACGGTTTCTGGCCGTTTTCGGTGGGGCTGGATGAGAGACCGGTTAGCCACCACTATTATGACAACATTCTCCCATCCTCAAGATTTCACACCATGCCTGAGGAGTTCCTGCAACTCTGGCACTTGCACAAGAGCGGCACGCTGCGTATGCGGGTTGGTGATTGTGCAAAAGAAGGACAGGAGCCTAAGAGGGAAAAATAAGTGGAAGTGTTGCCAGGGGCAACTCCGTATATCCCCAAAGGAACAGGATGGCCAGGACGGCGATTAGCATGTGAATACAGTGGGCTGTGAAGTGGTGTCCCACCCCCAAAGCTGGGCCTCTTTTTGGTGTCTATATGCTTGAACCTCAACTGCTACCAACACACCCCACCCTCTTGTTACCAAGGGACTGTTGTAAAGACTTGCATGTGTACCCATCCTCATGTATGCACTCACTGGAAGCTTGTTGTGTCCGTCTGTAGAAGTGCCGAGGTGATGAGGGGCTCAGGTGTCATGTGACCTATTTAAACTGCATCCACCAGCAGTTGGACCCTTGAATCTAAGGACTCTTTGTTCACTTAATATAAAGACAGATTGGGGGAGGGGCTGCTTCAAACAATGTCTTAAGAACTTTAAATGGGAACTTGGAAATTGGGAGCAATGCTTTGATCGTTTGGCATTTTTTGTTTTGTTTAGTCTTGAACACTGATTCTTTTAGAGTTTTGAGGAAATGGAATAAGGAATAATGTGAAAATCTTTCTCGCAGTGTTCACATATACACAAATCAGTGTAAAACTACAGGTTTAGCCTGGAAAAGGGAAGGCATTGAATGTACAGCCACATTTTAAACACCCGTTTCAAAAATTTGAGACTGCTTTAAAATGACGGCTGCAGTTCATGTATTATTGTGAATATATTTCTAGTTTTATTTATTTTTAACATTCAGTGAAGTAGGACATTTACTGAGAACCACCTTGTCAGTCTAGATCAGTCATGAAACTCATTTCTTACATGACCATAGTGTTTTGTCAGTTTGGACTGGGAAGTCATGGGTTGAGAGACTACATCCAGTTGGAAGACTTCCACAAAATGGATGGAGGCCTAAATTCTGTAGAAGAGTGAGTGAATTGTTTGTGTACCGATGGAAAAAGTGCGATTGAGTTCATGGTGACACCTGTGGCGGCATCTTTAAGTATAATATGTATGTGTTTGAATTCAGTCATTTGATGTTATGCAGTGGTGTAATAAGCCCTCGTCACATGGTCGAAGGGGCACCAATCATACGATAAATGTTTTTTTGACTGCTAAGGTGCTGGACACCTAGTCCAGAACGTGTAAATAATCAATCACCAGTTTCGTTACGATTTCCACAAGAATCATGGGTTCTCTGAATGTAATGGCAGCCATTTTGGTAGTCTGCCCAGAAACTTGATTCCTTGACTTGTTTTTTTTTTTTCGTTAAACAGGGAATTAAATTTAAATTTGTAGGTGCTAGCTGTAACACATGCACTCCAGCTTAGTCTTGATATATCATCAGTGCAATAGGTATGACTGGTAGGAGAATGCACTATTATGTTGATATAAAGCCAGAAACCTAAGTATTTATAGGGTTAGTTCACCCAAGAATTACAATTGTCATCAACTACTTACCCCATGTCATCCCAAATAAGAATTTCTTTCATCTTCTAAACACAAATTAAAATATTTTTCATGAAACTGGAGAGTTTTGAGCTCCATTGAAAGCCTACATTTTCATGCTTCAAAAAACAAAAAGATATAAGACATTGTAAAAGCAATCAAGCGGTTTAATCCAAGCCTCATGAAGAGGCATAAAGATTGAAGTTATACATAAAGATTGATCAACGCACACGTGTGCATGTGAGCATCTCGAAATATGGTAAATGGAAGCCCAACTGTTCTTTTCTTGATGCCCAAGAACAAACCTCATTGGTTTTCATTTGCACTTTCTGAAACGTCAAAGTTTTGGTGTGATGGACTTTCAATGGAGGGACAGAAATCTCTCAGATTTGTCTTGTGGGTTTGGAATGACATGAGGGTGAGTAAATGACAGAATTTTCATTTTTAGATGAACTATCCCTTTAATGGGAGAACAGAGTTGCCTTTAAATGTGTCTGCCATTTAAAGCAGGTGTGTTAGCATTCAGGTAGCTAGCTATAAGACAGCTTGACTAACTTGCTTTGCGAGATTCTCTTAAAACTGTTGTTCCACTATCTAATTCTACATTCAGTTTACACTTTCATTTCCACTACATGAAAAAAAACTGAATGTAGCATAATATTACCCGTGACAACACTGAGAATGTGTACTTGAAACTGACTGAAATGAGTTCTGACAGATTTTTAGCTAGAAGTTGTTGTGTATACATACATGCTGTTTGTGCATTAATATTGACAAGCTCTACAGTGAGCATAACCGGGTCACATTTCACCCCAATCAAAAGAAAAATGGCAATTAAGCACATTTCCCCTCCATGTTCTCATTATCGTAATGTGTTTTTGAAAAAACTAAAGCTCAAATAAAATAAATAAATAAAGATTGGCATAAATGAAAGACGGTACAGCAAATAATGGTGCATAAATACTTATGCTTAATTCCAGGAGTGTTAATGGTCATGAAAACATTTTTTTAATTTTGGGGTGAACTATGACCCGGACTTGTTCTTAGCAAGTTTTTTGAGACTCGCTCTGATAGCAAAGGAAATGTGTGCACTCATCTGAGTATCTCCAGAAATTTCCATTACCATAGTTTCACACTTTAAGCCAATGAGTGCCTTTATCAATATTAAAAAGGCTATGGACATCATTTTATCAAGGACAAGTTTTTAACCAAATCTAAGGATTATTAAATTTCCCCCCCCCCAAACTCAGACTTAAATAACCTCACAGAATTGTTTTTAAGCATTTTCAACCAAGGCTGATGTGTAGAAATGTTGAAAGACCTATTAATTTAATAATTTATTATGATTTGTGATAAGTGAATGGATGTGAGTTTCAAAATATGTTAGCATTCGGTTGTAGAAGGACCAATGTACATTACTGTAATTTTTTTAACATCGCTTAATTGCCAGAAGACCACAACTTTAGCGTACATGAAGCTGGGGAAAGTGTTAATTGCTGGAGCTGATGATTTATTTATTTTTTGTATTTATTTTTTTTTGCACCTTTTTGTGGTGTTCAGTATTGTGAATGAGTGAGGTAGTAGTTTGTAAGTAGGCATGCACGACTGTGATATGTAATTGGTTTTTGAAACTGATTTTGAGTGAGAAACTCACAAACAATTATGTATTTTACGTTCTGCCCTTTGAGCCATATGAGGGTGTGTGCCCTGTTGAAACTGAGCTTATACCTCAACTGTACTATTCACTGTTAAATTCATTGAAGCTCACTGGAGCTTGGAGCTTAGATATTTAAGTACGTTTTACTCCACTAAGCTTTAAATGTGTCCTGTCTTCTTGGCTCAAGCAGTTGGTGTTTGTACTTGAGCATGTCATCTACTAACAGTAAACCAGAACAGGGCTGGACGTTGTTTACGTGCCACCTGGGTTATGCCAGTATTGAAAATATGATGAGAAAAAAGCAAACACACTGCTTTCAAACAATAAAGACGTCCTGTCAGCTCATTCGCTGCAGTATGTGAAGTCGATGAATAACAGTCTGTCTAAATGACCTCAGAGGAAGCCCTCCATTTTAAATCAGACAAAAAATATATATTTCCTGTCCAATACATTTTTGATGTCAGCTGTCTCCATGCAGATGGCCAAATGCAGAAGACTCATTGTATTGATCAAAGGCGTTATTTGTTGGACAGGCTACTGAGAGACACAATGAAGAGGGCTAGAAATAAATATTAATAATGAATATCCCATATCCATACATTTGTATGCCGTTTTGGTGCCAAAATATCACCTCATGTATATTCTGGTAATTAGCTTGTATTTAGGGAAGCTACAGTTTTCTCAACACTGCTCAATCTAGAACATTCTCCTTTAATAGTTATGCATACAGTGGGTCGGTATAGAAAAGAATCACTCCCCTTTAAAATAATCATTAACATTTGTTGCTTCCCAGACAGATATTGCCGCTTTTCCACTGCATGGTACGGCACGGTACGGCTCAGTACGGTTCACTTTTGGGGGGTTTTCAACTGGGTACAGTACCTGGTACTTTTTTTAGTACCACCTCGGTTGAGGTTCCAAGTGAACCGTACCGTTACCAAAACGTGACGTGTAAACTCTGCTGATCACTGATTGGCCGGAGAGAATAGTCTCTACCTGCGTCACTGAACTTGCGACACAAACACAAAAGAACCGCTAGATTTAAATCAGCACAGCCAGCGAAGGATCGAACGCAACTGTTTTGAACGAGCGCACCTTTTCTTAACAACAAAAAAGTTTCGTTGTCTGTTGCGGAAGTACAGACGTTCCTCTCGTTGATAGCAGAGGAGCGGATCCAGCTAGAGCTTGATGGGGGCGACGCGGAATGAAAACGTTTTTTTTAGGAATCGTGGCAGTAGAGGCGGCGAAACTATATAACGACATGTGAATAATCCCGCCCACTCTAAAGCGATACTAAACTGCAGTGGAAACGCAAACTGTGCCGTGCCGTGCCGTGCCATACTGAGCCGTGCCGAGCCAGAGTCGTACCATGCAGTGGAAAAGCACCAATAGTGTTGGCCCAGATCCGGCCCACATCTGGCCCGCATGGATTTCATGCTTTCATGGATCTGGGCCGACACTGGTTGCTGTCTGCAGCTTGAAATGAAGACTTATCCAGCTGTATTTACACAGGTACACAGGTAATACAGCTGTATTTTCATTTGGATTATAAAATCCAAATGAAAGATATACCACCAACAGGTCAGGAAAAAAAATCACTGAGTTGGAAATGGATCACCCCCTCCTAAAAATGACTTTTCAACTCAATCATTTGTAGCTAAACACCTTCTCAATGGCACACAAAGCCATTTGACTTTCAACTGTGATCATCTGTGGTCATTCTGATTAGCTCATAATGAAACAAGCTTTTCTGGAGCATTTCAGCCCTTGGTAGTGCAACTGAAGCAAAGGTCATTGTGTGCATGTGACAACAATATCACAAATTCTCCACAAATGTGGCTTGTATGGGAGGGTTGCAAGAAAAAAAACACTCCTCAAGAAAAGCCACATGCAGTCACGACTGAGTTTTGCCAAAATGCACCTTGAAGATTCTGAGGCAGATGAGACTAAAATTGAATTATTTGGCCTCAACACCAAACGATATGTTTGGCAGAAATCCAATACAGCTCACCATCCAAATAACACCATTCCTACAGTACAGTAAAGCATGGAGGTGGTAATATTCTGTTATGGGGGTGTTTTTCTGCAGCAGGGACTGGAGCACTTGTCAGGATAGAGCCCAGACGTAAACCCCATTGAAAATCTGTGGAATTACTTGAAGACAAACGGTCACCATCAAATTTAACTGAACAAATATTGCAGTCTAGATAAGTCTAGATATGCAAAGTTAGTAGAGCCATATCCCAACGGACTAAAGGCTGTAATTAAAGCAAAAGGTGGTTCAAACAAAATACTGTCACAAGGGGGTGATCCTTTTTCCAGCTTTTTTTTTTTCTGACATGTTGGTGTTCTATCTTTCACTTGGATGTTATAAGTTGCACTGAGTAAATACAGCTGGATAAAACAAAAACGGTGTTCATCTTCATTTCAGGATGCAAAGCAATAAAACGATTATTTTTAAAGGGGGGTGATTCTTTTCTATACCCACTGTAAGTAATCACGTGGCCACAAAAAGTGTATTTCCATTTAGTAAATACTAAGTAACTTATTCACTAATGTTCCATGTATGTAACTCAGGTTTTGTCATGTGGAATAATAATGTGTTTCGTACTGGCGTGGGTGTTCAGGCTGGAGGTTCTGCACTGAGGCTCCAGTGAGGTGAACATTTATCTTTCTTTTAAATAAGCCAAATGGGGGCTGTGAAAAGATAGCAATGCAAATTAGTAGAAGCAATTTTAAACACCCACATAACTGTTCTAAAGTGCCTTTCCATTTGCAGTTCTGCATACACTACAATGCGTACAATGTCATGTTATATGCATTTATATGAGATTGTGGTTAGTTACTTTTACTTGCAATGAAGCTAACACTTCCAATTCCATTTTGTTTGTTTGTAGTGTTTATGCATTAGGCCTGATGTCTGGTTTATTTTGATGGTATATGGGTGGGTATATGTATGGTCTTTTTCTGAACTTTTGCCAAAAAATAAGCACACACAAATTACATCTGAACGCAAAAGTAGACAACGGAAAATGATACAGAGAGCAGCAGCCTATGTTTTTTGCTCTGATAGCTGCAAAACTATGACTAATGCTGTGGGTTTGTGTTAGAATCAGGACTGGTAGGAGAGCATTTACCTTCAAACCAAACTTATGATTTCAGCTGACAAAGTTTAAATCCCATCTGGCTAGCCCTCTTTAACAACATGTCCGGTAATGTTTAAGAATTACGTCAGTAGGCGGTCTTTATGAGATATGAGTGTCTACACTACAAAAGCAACCTGGTCGTTTTCGACTACATCTGGAAGTTATCGAAAGTGGATAAGCTCAACACACATCTTAATACTAGGTGTAAACAAGGCCTAAATGAACTTTTTAGTCCACTAAAACATTCTGTAGTGGATGACGTTCATTACACAGAATCATTTTTAATTATGCCCTTGTTCACATTTCTCCCATGCACACATTTCCGTCTTTTTTATGTGCTTTTGGTACTACTCCTACTGAGGCTTCTTTTAGGTCAGACCCCCTCAAACACCATTAGAAATGCAAGGATTATAGACCAGACTACTGGGGCCCACCTCTGACTACCAGGAGCCTCAAGCTGAAAACATATACTGAACAGTGCTTGAATGTTTGAGATTATGAACCTTACAGTGCAGGACAAAAAAAGGCCCATTGTCAATAGTGTATGTACGATGTATGAAGCATCGTAGAGTTCAACACAGAAGTCGGGGAAGTCGTGGCCTAATGGTTAGAGAGTCGGACTCGTAACAAAGGTTGCGGGTTCGAGTCATGTACCGGCAGGGATTGTGTGGGGGGGTGGGGAGTGAATGTACAGAGTATGGGTCACCATACTTGGCCACCTCACTTTCACTTTTTCACAGAAGATACTTTCAAACCAAGCAACATCATGCAGAACTCCTGATCACATGGATTCCTATTGAAATGGCTAGATTTTGCCCGTAAAAACTTTCTGAACAAATGTAAATGTAACCACACATTTAATGAAGCTTTGATGTTAAATACCAGTAATAATATTGTTGTCTTTTATATAATGTGTTATGCACATGGTGTGTTTATTCTTTTAATTGCAACTTTAGAAAACAGATTTATTTTTTATTTTTGTGACAAGAGAAACTACAAAGAGGCTGGTGCTCCGCGGGCCTCGCCAGACCATAATCTGTCCTTGTAGACAGGATG